CTTGATAAATATTTTTGGTCATATGTCCCTGCTCTACAGGAAAGACTTCAGTTCAGTGAGGCTTGTTAGTTCTGGTCCATTTGTTATGGCTGCTACTTTTTCCTCTATCTTTGTCAATACGATGTCCCCGGTACTCCACACTTCTCTGAAGAAAATGGCACTTGTAACGTTTCACTTTGACGCCATGCTTCTCCAGACGTGTGAGTACTTCCTCCAACCTCTTCAAAAGCTCCCTTTCAGATGAAGCAGTGATGAGGATGTCATCCAAAAAGCAGGTCACATGATCCATACCCTGAAGGATTTGATCCATCACAGACTGAAGAAGAGACGGATAACTGGAAACACCATAGCTGAGGCGATTGTACTTATAGAGACCTTTGTGTGTGTTGATGACCAGATACTTCTCTGATTCTTCATCTAACTGTAGCTGCTGATATGCATGAGGAAGGTCAAGCTTACTGAAGGATGTTCCTCGAGCTAAAGTAGCAAACAAATCTTCAGTATTAGGAAGTGGATATCTTTCCTCTTCACTGGTTGACACTGACTTTGTAGTGGCTTTAAATCCTTTGATGCAGCCTTGGTCATCCAAAAACACTGCGTGATGCTGCTGAATCACTTCTAGTACTTCTGGCCTTGCTTCTTTCTGCACCAGTACCTTGTGTACTGTGAATATCTGTTTCCAGTTCAGCTGTAGTTTCTTTAACCAGTTTCGTCCAATCAGAGCTGGTCTGTTTCCCTGAACAACGATCAGTGGTAGGGTGATGTTTTGGGTCTCATTGTCACGGTTCTGGGTCATTTTGACCCAGCTTTTTCAGCTTTTTATATTTTGCTATATTTCTATAGTGTTGATTATTATTCTAGAGTAAGTTCAGTGTCTGTCTGCGTCCTTGTAAATTGTTTCCTGTTTTACTTTGAAGGTTCGTGTCTGGTGTCAGTGTGTTCAGTTTACTCCTGTCTCTCATCCCTTGATTACTGCCGTGTGTATATTAGCCCTGTGTTTCCTTCGTTCTCTGTCGCGTCGTTCACGTCTACTTACCCTCACTTCCCTGTGTGCTCTGTTTGCTTGCCAGCCAACCAGTTTAGTTATGCTGTATTCTCAGTTTAGGTAGTTTTGCTCTGTGCCTTTCCAGCAATAAAGCTGAGTACTCTGAGTTACATCTGCCTCTGCGAGTCTTGCATTTTGGGTCCTCTCCTCTTCAACTGCCTGCACACAGCCTTGACACTCATACTGTACTGGTGACATAATATATCCTGAGTAGGACTCGAGCTTTAGCCCACTGGCTGGTTTTATATGGAAATGAGTGAGATGCACCTGATAATACTTGTCTGATACACTGCTGATCCTGTATCCAGCAACATGGTGGTGTTCTTGTTTCCAAGCGCAACATTCACTGAGTATCCCTTCTCACTGGAGGTGATGGAGTACACTGAATATACTCCAAAAAGTTCAGCTTCATCATTCCTACTTGAGCATTCATCCTCAGTTTCCACATACTGAGTTTGCTGACTGAAGTTTTTATTTCTGCAAGCACGTGCAATGTCTTTTTCTTTTTTTTTTTTTGCACAAACATGACACTTTTCACTCTTAAATTTGCACTCACGAATGCTGAATGAATGCTGTTCACCACAACAATAACATGGTTGCTTCGCTCCTGTCCCCCTTCCAGCTCTTTGGCTTGTTAGTCTGTCCTTTCCATCCTTTGTTGGAAGAATTTGAAGCATTTGTCAAGGCATTTACTTGGTGAGGTTCATGGTGTCCTGAGAACTCCATCATATTCTTTGAAGTGGATGGATCCATGGATATGGCAATCTCACTTCAGTCTTTGTCTGAGCATTGTCTAACCATGGTAGTCCTTACCTTGCCTCTGTTTCAGTTTACTTGCTGAACATTTCTAATGTGTCTCTACCTGTGGCTAGGATGGCCCAGCAGAGTTCTGAGAGAGTGTTTGTTGTAGTGATGGTCAAATGAAGCATTGAAGCTTGTATTAAAAATGGTTCAATGCTCATCTTTGGTGCCATCTAGTGGCCAAAAATATGAAGAACAGCTTGAATGTACAAATTAAAATGAACCGCTTCATTGTGATTGCCCACTCTACCGAGCTGAGCTTCTGCTTAACCCTTTAAGACCTACCATAGAACCAAGTCCGCCAGAGCTTATATTATAT